TCATACTCATTAGACGAAAGTAAGAAATTACGAGTCGATTATTTGGGTAAACAGAAGTAAAGAGAGACGAGTTTACTAAAAAACGAAACTTTTCATGGGGGGGGGAGATTGTTCTAATTAAAAAATAAAAAAAAATAGAAACGAGGATAAAAAGACTTTTTTCTCTTGTCGAGAATCCCACAGGAACAGATAGCACTCATGGTGGTCAAATAGACAGAGAGAAGGCAAATAACAAGCACTAGTTGCTTTTTCTACTGGAATAAGTACTCACCTCCTCCCCCCACACCCCCACCCCGTATCTCAGCTCCTAATTTCATACTACTGAATCATAAGAAAAGGCAACAATTCGAGAGATTTCCCTCTATTATAGCCCAGTGATTCCTAAGCATGAATTGCTCGCATTGATTTTCATTGCCATAGAGAAAAGTGTGCCTCTGCAATTGCCCTTCTGGCTTAGCATCTACGAGTCATTAACGCGAGAGTGTGTCCGCTAAACAGGACATTAACGCAGGTCCCTTCTCCCATCATCCTCTATGCAGGAGCGTCAATGAGCAAATTGGAGTTCTAGGAGCTCTTGGATGAAAGAGAGAGAGAGAGAAGGGAATTAAAGATTCTACGCAAAAAAACAGGAAGAGACAACTCCACTTCTCAGAGTGACCTAATCCAAATCTAGTCTCCACAATACATCTCCCGTTTATTTTCCAACCAGTTTGCCATTTCAACAGATTATGCGTACTGAGTGGATTAGTGATAATAGCCACTTAAGTAGACAAGATCCCAGTAAAATTCTGTCAGTGATGGATTCTTGAACGAGATGTCATGCGATGAACTTTATTTAAAAAAAACATGCAGACGAGAGGACAAAGAACTTCTCTCTCTCTCTCTCAAGTGAATCAAACCCAAATCGGGTTACCAACAGAAACTAGTAAGAGAGAGAAAACACAAAGTATCGCTTATGCTATCCTATTGCAAGACCCCATCCATAGAATTACTATCGCATGCTAAAAAATGTCTGATTAAGCTTTTATGAATTATTGACGTATAGACAGAAGACTCACGGAGATAAATATAATTTAAGTAAATAAATTTGCCTCGATTATGGAGATATAGGCTAGTGATGCGGGGAAACACCCCCCCCCCACTTGGCACGCGAATGGTTTTGTCAGGGAAAAAAGGTAAGCCGATGAGAGGGTAAAGCATTGCCCAAGATGAATCACCACGAAACCAGGTCACACGTAAAGGCCAGCAGGGTGAGACCAAGAGGAAATAAATAATCTCTAATTGCAGGCAGGGTGACAAGTGATGAATTCATGGCACATACGTGTTAAGCATTTCCTCCTCCTCCCTCCCCCCCCCCTTCCAGGGTTTCTATGGCAAGTTGATATGCTATTTGTGAATATAGTAACTGAAAAAAACAGCGTTCTCCAATGCGTCTGGAGACAATTTTGCATACAGTACACCTTACTATGCATCAGGTTCTTTAAAAGGGAAAGGTGAAATAAATACTGCCATCAGAATAAAGCGAAAAAGCTTTAGAGCTACATGCATCAGTGAAACAGAGATGAACGTTTAAGCTAACCTGACAGAGCCTTTCAAAGCATTTACAGTGATGTTAATGACCAGCTACATTAGTTAAAATGAGGAGAGGTAGAAAGTCAACCTCACATCAAAGCGGTTCCAGAATGTCTTACCACAATTCCGATCCATAATAATGAATACTTCTTTTAATGGGCTTGAAAAGATCAAAGTCCATGGAACCTACATACATGATTGATAGATCACATCTGTCCAAGTTATTGGCCTCTTCGTTGCAAATGGCAGTCTGCAATTCGTCACTTCACAACTATCCCGGAGAAAATATATGTAGTAAAACATATTCATATTTCCAAGAAAACAATTGCTCGAGAATATCAGAAATTTCAAGGAATGAAAGGACGCTCGTGGACATATAAGCCAATTAAAGCTTCACAAAACTGCTGAGAAGAGAAATGGACTCACGATTTCCGTTCGAATCCGTTCCCAGCAGGCCATCAGCAGAAGGACAGAGACCCGAATCGGGTCCAGAGGGGCCAGTTGTAGAAGCAGCACCAGAACTCGAAGGAGGCTTTATCTTGACTTCTGCAGCAGCAGCAGCAGCTGTTGCCGCCCGAAATCCTTCCAGAAAGGAGGAGGCGGCGTCGGGTGGGACAGTGAGGGATTTCTTTCGGTCCCCTGGAAGGGATGGATGGTCGCCTGCACCTGAAGAGGGAAGATCACTAGCTCCGTAACTGAGAGTGAATGAAGAGAGGTTTGCATTACCACCAGAATTGCCATTTCCCGCAGCCCCGCCACTTTCGAGGATTTCTAGAGAGGAAGAAAGGCAAATAAAAATAAGGACGATTAGCACTTCATGCTGCTAGCTGTCTACACTATTGAGCATCTAAAACTTGAGCCAGGAGTGGTTGAGTAAACAATCATCCCTCGTAACCAAATTGCCAAGAGCAGTCTATGTGGAGTTAGAGGGAAGAGGGGGGAGTAATAGAATACGTCTTGTGGGGGTTAGTGCAGAGATAAGTTTGGCATAAATAGGAGACATTTCATTAGCAAACGGGAACAAAGAAACCTTTTCATACAATTCGCCTTTTTCAGCCCCTACCGATTCGTCGAAATATATATATATATATATATATATATATATATATATATATATATATATATATATATATATATGATCAACTAACAAAATTATCGTGAAACACCTGTGCTCTGATTAATTCCCGATCATTTATCCCAATCTTCTACCTGTACTTTCAGGCTCCACAGAGTACAAATGGAATATCGGCCCTCCACTGCTTGCAGTAGAGAGGTCAGTGAGGCGCATAGTCTTAATGGTAGGACGTCGACAACGAAAGATCAGAGTCACGATATTCATGTCTTTTCCACGCATCAGTAATTACCACAGATCATTTCTGAGCCGCCAATCAGCCTTACCAATATGGATGATTGATGCTGACAAATTGACAGTTGTTCAGAGCAAAATCTTATAACCCAGCGGTGGCTAATAGGCATATGAAATAGAGCAGCAGAAAATGGGCTTGCTAGAGTTACAGCAGTGTAGAAGAGCCTCCATTTACGAAATTCTCTGTTTTTGAGGTTGCCGAAGAATAGGAAAAAAACACTAGACATTATTATACAAGAAAGACTTAAACAGTTAAGGGGCATGGAACTCACCCCTAAAGTTAATCGGAGGCACAACACCCTTGAGTGATTGCAGTATCATTGGTGGGATATTAGTACTATTCTTTCTGGGAGCTCGAGGCAAGGAGGCATTAACGCCAGCACTCATCTGGCGTTGTCCACCGTCCAATTGTGCCGCCTGAACGACAGTGGGAGAGGGCTGTTGAGGAAGGGCAGGAGGTGGATTTGACGTGGTGGAGGAGTTAAACTGGAAGCGTTCCAGGAGTGACCGGGTAGTGGGTTCGTTCACCGCGGATGCAGCTACAGCGGCAGCAGCTGATGCTTTCTTTCGTTCATTGCCCACAGCTACGAGGACGGGATAGTTGCTGGGAACTAAGAGGTAGAGCTGGCTCGAGTTGTTGGCCTTTTTAATCTCCTGCGAGAGAGAGATGCCCTGTCAATATCTACCATTAAATAATAACGCACTGGAAATTACCCACAAAGACCCAATTTGAACATGTCTTGGCTAGATCATATCTGAGTATATTCGGCTCATTAAACGTGTTCGAGTAGAAATAATTGAAGATAGAAGGAAGACAATACTCAGCTCGCCTTGTCTCATCGTTGGTTTATCATGTGTCCAGAATCCAGGGCCTGGATACCACAAAACCGTTTTATGGAATTGGATGATGAGGTGGGCGGGGAGGGGGAGGAGGGCGGAGAGAAGCAGTACATAACAATCCACAGCTGTAAAACAATGGTCAACGTGGATGACTGTCAAGGCAATAGCGACGAGAGTTATGCGCTCATCGATCCCTGTTTTGTGACGTGAAAAATAACTCTTGTGGCTATTTCTGCTCAACAAGAAGTTTAGTGGGCTGTTTTAACAACAATCTTAACGGGCTCAACATGTATAAGAGATGCCATGAAGATAACGGAATTTTTGTGCGGCCTCCACTAGATGTACACCAATGGGCATTTAACTCGTGACTTCCAAATTGTCAGGCGTGCAAGTATTGATCATTATACTGCCTTATTTCCAGTGTAAGTAATGCATATAGAGAAATTCTATGACCCACGCAAAACTGGACAACGGAGACCGCTTTTTGTGAAGCTCACCTTCACAATATTTCTACTTAATTACTACGGATACATGTAGAAAACAAGAAAAGAAGTTTTTAAAGTAGCTTGTTAACAAGAGGATGGCTATTCATATCCTTTAATTATAACTTGGAATAAGTAAACTAAATGACTTGGGCTTATAAGCACTTAGTGCAACACTAAAGAATGCACAAATAAATATTAATTCAAAAACTGGGGTGTGCGATAGACTTACCTCCACGTGGTGCACCCTGGGAAACGTATACGCATACGGCAAAAAGTCAATAAACCGCCAGTTGATTTAAAACCACCATGACACGACTCTACGTCATATTTAACCACTTTCACAGTACTCATCTCACCTTACCTTATTCTCCACATTTGTGTCTGTCGCTCTTTTTATCCGTGAATCACTCTACTGCTCCCCCCTCTCGACTTTTTTTTGTAATAACAGATAGATAATAGAGTGGTCGGTAAACTATCTCCACAAAGATTTCCAGATATTCAATTGTTAAAAAAACTCTCAAAGTTATCGTCGCACTAGTCATTGAATTCAAATATGGTTAATTATAACCACAGAAACAAGACTCAAATCGAAACAAAGGGAGCCAAAAATCGGCGTGCAAAAAAACCCCAATGCTATTAATTCAATAGTAATGAATTATTGCGAGAGTAAGGTCTGTGGTGTGTCAATGATTGCTTTGAGAATTTGATAAATGTCATAGTGGAGGATCTTCATTTTCAATTATCATCTTACTGCAACTGTTTGAAGTTGCACTGCTCCAAAGGCCGGCATTTGAACAGACATTTAAATAAAAAACTTGCTCTTTTCCAAAGCCGCCCATTTGAAGTTGAGCATGAGCACACTCTTGTATGCCAAAATGGCTGTATAAAATCAGGCATTTTCGAAGTAAATAAACATGAAATTTTTAAGAATCAACATTTGATCAAAGTATTCACGCTATGCTTAAAAACCCTCTTTTTCTCTTGTCTATCCATTTTCTTGGTTCATCTTGAATGATTTCTAGTGAACAACTGACTGCATCCAAATTGCTTTGGTTATTCTCATCTACCTGCTCATGGCCACACGTAGAAACTGAGAAAAATCGAAGAAAGATTGATCAATAAATTCCAAATATTACGACCAGAAATCAGGGATCAATTTTGAAAGTAAATGAATTTTAGAAGATTAGGATGTTACACAATGAAATTATACACACAATGAGAATTTATAAATTGCAATTTTTCCCAAAATCAAGTAGAGGAAGCCTCCTAACAATCCAACTTCATTACAGGCTTCTATTGAAACCTCCGTTTCATCCCATAGTGAAGTACTTGGGTTGCTAAATGCTATTTCTGCTTAGAACTCGAATTGACATGGAACACAGGCGCAAATTCATGCAGAAACTATGGAGACGCACCTTGGAACGTTAAGACCTGACTCTGAACGATACTCATTGGCGAAAAGTGAGTATCTCGATGCATTTTAAGTCGAATGAAAAGAGGCTCTGGTGATATGCTAACTTCATTCTCGACTCCAACCCTTACTGAATGTTGTCTATTGTTTCTCATGATTATAGACCAATCTAGTTTCATCGTAAATTGCATAAAGTACACATGTAATTGGCCAATACATAATCGATTACGCCTACTAAAATCAAATTTAAAATGATTATCTCATTAACCATATTGCAGCTTTTTGGAATTGATACTTTTGGAATTAACAGATAATTAACTTAACTTCAATAATCTCCCTCCATAGAATTAAAATGTGAGCGTGCCTAAGACATGCGCGTGAGAGACTTGACTTGGAGAAAGCGCGCAGATCTAGTTCGTAGCATTCAGCGGATTGAAAAAGCCACCTCTGGAAGCATAATAGCCGTAGCATAGTTGGTCACGTGATGGTGAACTAACTTTCGGTTATTTTTAGCCGCTTAAAATGGTAATTTATGCTAGTATGCGTGTCCCACCCCATCGCTCTCTCCCTTTCCTACTGCCGCAACTACTAGACAGAACTAGAATAGGAAAATTTCGTATAGAACGCAGTAAATTATCAAAAGCCTTTTGCATTCTTCAATTGAAGGAGAAATAAGTATGCAAATAAAGGCAAAAAACACCCCGAGAAATTTGCCGATTTTCATTGGTTTAAAAGTAGCCATATGGGCTGAGGCATATGATTACAACTTTCAACTTAAATAAGGCCTCCCCTTCCCTTAATTGACTAACACCTAGTGAGCAAAAAAAAGAAAAAGGGAGTTGGTTATCACCTCACACGCGACAACAACGGCCTAGATCAACAATTGAGACCCAGAGTTAATACTGCCCCACCCCCACCCCCACCCCCAACCCAAACTTCAATAATGGAGACACAACTGTCTTAAATAACTAAAGCTGAAACGAGTCATTTGCAAACGGCGATTAGAAACCAAGACTTACACATGAACATGATTGTGTCAGACTGAATGTTTCTTTTTACCCTATTAAAGTAAAATAGTGCAATAGCTCGTCAGAGAAATCCAATATATATATATATATATATATATATATATATCGAACTACGATATTACTCAATGTGAAATAAGCATAATAAGCTAAATTATTGCCTAGATTGGCGTTATATAGGAACCTTGCTTAAATGCTGGGTTAACAAATTACTTCTTTACCTCAGCTGGGATTGAACTTCCAGATTTCCGCATGAGCTCCTGAAGACTCGACTGTGTCAGCGAGAAGACAGATGCAGTTGAAGAAGCAGTGCTGGATTGTGGTTCCATACTGCTACTGTTATTGTTACTGTTGTGATTTGGTGAGGAATCCAGACTGCGTGGAGGAGAAGTAGACCGTTGCTGCTGAAATTGTTGGAATGATTTAATTGGAACTGAGGGCGAAGTCCGGCATGAACGCGGCGTGTGTTCCATCGGTTCTTCAACTGAAATTCAGATAGGGGGAAGAGGGGGGGGGGACAATTAAGTAGCATGGAAATGCAAGTACATACTAAATATGGTCGTTAGAGATTAATAAACCTGCGTCAAAATTGTGTGACCTCCTTCAGCTTAAAATACTAGACAAGGCACGATTCGAGTGGTAAAAGTGGAATATGAAAGGGTAGAATTAAGTAGTAGTAGATGATGGTATCAAATGGAGAGTTGAGGAAAGTAATGATTGAAGCATCAAACTGTTAAAAGAACCAAGCTTGATGAGAGGAAGGGACGACAATTTTAGGATAAATAGCCAATCCTTTAAGCTAAAGCTGTGTGTTGGAAACAGCTCTTTTTTTTCAAAAAATTTTCAAGCAGATTTAAAGACATTATGGTACTAAATATTCTCATCCATTATCTGTTTAAATTCTACCTTTTAAGAAATGGGGTGTGCGATAGACTTACCTCCACGTGGTGCACTGGGAAACGCATACTCTTATGGTAAAAAGGTCTATCAATCGGTAGTTGACTTCTGACTTCGAACTACCATCACCCCACTGTATGTCATATTTGACCGCTTCCACAGTACTCACCTGATCTTTTTACTACCTTTGTGTCTGTCGATTTTACATCTTTGAAACACTCTCCTATTTCCCCCCCCCTCTCTCGATTGTTTTCCCTACTTTGATGCAACCGTAGAATTTAAAAATAAAACCAAAAAAGATATATATTCTTTGCAGCAATAGAATAGTGTAAGCACGGAATATTCAGGTAAAATGTATTCCAAACAGTATTAAACCCAGTCCCTTAACTTTGTGTCCCACGACTAGATGGCGGCATCAGGTATACGAAATCCGAGAAAAGACTTAAGCATTTTTTTCTCTTGCGAAAATCACTTTAACTAATTAATAACCCTAGAGAGAGTCAATAGACGTTAAAGCGCCTCATTGGCCAAATCAACTCCCATCCATTTAAAAATTGGTGAGAGGAAATGTGGAAAATAAATGCTAAATCAAATTGGCTAATTGCAATGCTATAAAAAAAATTCCAGACTATTTTAATCCACATTAATAAAAAAAGAGATGTTCGAAAACTGTCATCCCAAAACGAGAAATCAGAAGGGACATACGTACCACTAATGTATCAATCAAATATGTGAAATCAGAGCTCACGGGTGTTGGAGGTCAGAAAGACTCCTCTATGGAGTTTCACTGCACTTTCAACTGTGTGACGCAGGTACTTTGGTGACGATACAAGCCTAACTATTCAGAGGCCATGTGATCAATACTCATGGGCCCATATGAAGTGATTTGATCGAATGACAGCACCGTTAGCCTCTAGTCAACTATGGAAGTGGTGAGTTGTTCTTACTTCAACGGATACGAAATGACCTGGAAATGCGACATTTCAATACAAAAGTCGCAAGCATTTACTCTATACAGCAATTAGACCAAGCACAAAGGATTCGTCTTTGACTGAAAATGAAGTCTCCTACATTCTTTTAAATATAAGAGGACTGGAGACGCTATTGGCAGTCAATCAACGCGACTTGATAGCAATCTCATTCAACAATTATAAAGTAAAGACAAGTAGAACCTTCCTCCAACCAAAATTCGATTTCCTGGATTAAATAAATTAAAGGAGAATGTTAAGATGAAAATATAACGAAAATGACATCATGGTTACTAATAAAAGCAGGTTAATAGAAGCTAAAAATTGTAGGAAAAAAATAAGTGGAAACAAAGTTTTAGTTTGTCATCATTGCTGAAAAAGGACATTCCGAGTAAAGTTACGAGTAATCTATAACTGATGGTAAGAGCTGATAAAGGACAATTATTCCCAAAGCGTTTGAAACAATAATTCGCGAAGTACATCTTGGGCAGGGAGGAAGCAACACGCACACATTGACCACTGTGCTTTGTTGATTTCTTGGTTAAATTTAAATTAGAGCCCAACAAACTTAGGCAGTAGCGCGAGGTGACTATCAGAGTTAAGAGAGAGAGAGTGAGTGAGTAAACAACATAACAGCTTCAAACTTATCACAGTTGCACAGTTGTGCAGACATATCGAGGTGCGAGGAGGCACAACGATTAGTCATGGCTAAATGTGCATTTCTAACAATGCACCAGTGCTTTCATTGCTAAGGTCCAACGGAAATCAATTGTAATATCGACGGAGTTTGCGTACAGCCATTTAAAGACAAAAAACAAAGGCAATGTGATTTGATATTAACCGACTATAAAGCCATGTGAAAGTCGTATGGTACTCTTAATTTAATCATAAATCAGGAGAAGAGGCTGTTACTATTTCTCGATATTGCGAGGAAGTTTTCGTCTCGTTAATCAGGATTCAAATTCTATTGCTTACTACACATCTCATCTTATAAGCGCGTTAGTGGGGCAAGTAACTTGACCGTCTGCGAAGTTAGAAGTTATGGATATGATGCCCATCAATGCACATCAAATGAGTGAAACGATCAATTAAACTGATTAAGTTCAATCACTAAAGGAAGTGAGAGTTGAAAATTGTTGAAGATGTCGCTAAGGGAACCACATTGTCATAAATAGATCGAAATAGGAACGAGGCATGCTTTATGTCAGCAGAATATTAGTCTGTGATCCAAAGAGATTGAACCTGCATTACAGAGGGCATAGATTAGATGCAAACATCTCGACATATACAGAGAGCTTCTCGCCTATAAGAAACGCCGGCACACGTTAAGAAGACCCAAATTTGGAAAACAACCCAGTTAGTGTCCTTTTATTTTCCCAAAATGCGTCATATCTTAAGGTCAGAGAGGGTGAATTGTAACTAGACAGTGGACATAGGCAGTGGGGCTAACATCTCCAGACATCGTATTGGGATTGATAGGTCTAGACTTATAAATTGCGTAGACATACATACAATTGCGTAGTGGCGTAATGAAGGTAGGCCAATGATCCAATCATAAGCAGAAAAAGAAGTTAGCTGAGATGTTGACGCTGAGAACACGTTCTGACAGGAATGTGCAAGACGTGATACAACTGAAATAGTAGCAATGGGAATCAAGATGGAAGACGGGTTTGGGGAAACATTAGAAGCAAATTAACACTATAGCGATGATTTAGACAAAATAAATGGATTACGAATGACTTAGGTGAAAAAAACATCTCCATCGTAGGAAATAATAGATTATTACTAAACATTAACTACAGGTCCATTAATGCGCGCCAACGGTTTAGTGGCTAAATTGTCTGTTTGCAAAGCCAGGTCGGTGGTTCAATATTCAACGGTGCGTATCAGCTAGTCGAATGACACGCCGCTTTTTAGCTAAGTATGCCTAATCGAAGGGGCGTTAGAATTCGACCGCCAATCATGTTACTCCACTAAGAAAGGTGCTGATAAAAGTTACCCTAACTGGACTTAGCATTGGGAACAAAAAAGCAACTGAGTTCAAACTTAATTAAAAAAAATAATTATACGGTAGGTGCGATTTTGTACATTATTTTTTTTCTCATGGGAAACCGTGAACTTTGCGTAGATTTTCCACGGATGGATAAGGAAAAAGGTTCCGACGACTTCCATAAAGAGCAATAGATATTGGGGTATAGGAAGAGAACAGGCAGTGATGATTTTGATGGATGTCTTTTTATCCTGATTTAGCCAAAAGTTCTCAAAATCCCAACGACCAGGAGTCTAAGAAGCATAAGATCTTTCAAAAAACGATCCCGATGATGGTTCGATCGTTAGGATAATTAAACCCTTGGCGGCAATGCCATCGAAATTACCTAGAAGCTTGCCTTTGTAAATGAATACAGTCCCATCAGTCTTAAAAAGGAATGAAACAAACAGATAAAATATATAAAATCAAATATTTCTGGTACAGATTAAATAAAAGGAAAAGTAGAATGCAAGCCCAGCCAGTGTCTGTCCGGGAAATTAGCACCAAAAACCATAGACTAACAGAAGAAGAGAACGGGAAAGAATAAAAATTAGATGAAAAACAGTAATTGAGATGCATATATAGAGAATAGGCAATAGAAAACACATATAGTAAAAGTTGAGGAAGATTTTTCATAGAAATCTGAAACGTCTACAATTTGTTAAGCGAAGAACACGATACTAAAGTCAAGAGAGCATGTGCCATTTAAAGGTAACTTCTTTCTAAATACTCACAGGAAGAGATGGGTTAATTCAAATGGATATAAGACAAGAATTTCAGTTCAATTTGCTGGTAAAGTGAATGAAGCATCAAATAGAACTCCGGTTACAAGATTTTTAATACTACTTTTTGAAATGTCAGGTTAATCGAAACGAACTCAATATCAAACGATGCGATGATTGAGGAAAGATGGTTTGGGGATTATTTTCTTAACCTTTATCTATTTTCTCAAAATTCCAACAGAACTATCCTACTGTTCTTCACGAGTAGACACTTCCACAAGTTAAATAATCATAGTATCCCTAAATCCACCACCAACGAGGCTCATATAAACCCTTACCTTGGGTGAATGTATACTAGCGGGAAACCTGGCCAATAGAAACTCGAATTCTGAAACCAAATTATAAGCAAAACAACGCCCAATGTGTTAACCTAACGCACTCGAGTCTGGGACTTGAAAATTCGAAGGTGAGCACGATAACTAGAGTTCTTGTTCAGCGACAATATTAATTCAAGTCGATTAATGTCTAGACAAATTGAACTTTAAAATCCATTTTAATGCAATTCAGAAAGACATTTAAATGGCTACAACTGGCGAAGTTACCTGATTTGAATGGTTTAATTAGACTCCAGAATAGTATTCCTCCCATTTCATCAGCATCCTCAATATCGAAATTCAAAAATAGACAGCAATACAAAAAAAACAGAATAGATAGGAATCGACAGGGCGGAAAACATCTGTCCGAAAAATCGAGAAATTGAAGAGAGGGGAAGGTTTAATAACCTTAAGCCAAGGACCACAAGACAATAAAAACGCATTATTTTGTTAATTTAAGCAAATACAGTGAAAGACTTAAAAGGGAATAAAAAATAAAAGGCCTGCTTATGAATTACGCGAAGTTGATCATAAGCCAAGGGAGGCAAGATAATACTTAACCGATTTTTAGTTTGTTTATCTAATGGGAGGAGACACGCAGAAAAAGTAAGCAGACTATGCACTTGGAAGAATTAGTCGGGAGAAGAAGGATAATGCTTTTGTCAAAGATCACAAGAATATGTAATCAAATAAATGTCTCTGTCTAAATGAAAGTAATTCGCATACGAACGTACAACATAGATAAGAAACATAGCAACAGCATTAAAAGTATAGAGCGGACTAATGAAATTGTAAGTGGGCAAAAAATTAGGGAAAATATATTTGATAAAAATTTGGAGGTTAGCAAGTCTAAAAAGTAATAAATTGAGAATAAAGCGCAAATTTAAACCAATAAAATTTCAGACAGTCAGACGGGTTGGCATACATAAGCAGGCAAACGCATTTTACATTGAGACTAACACGTGACAAGTAGTAAGAGAAGAGGCATGCACCGCAAAAACACGCAAGCAGCCTTCGTGAAATCACGTGACTTATAAAGTTGGATAGAAGGCAGTGAGAGATAAAATTCGAGCGCTGCAAAAGTTTATGGCAAAAAAGGTAATGAAAAGTCGAGGAAGTGATTAATTTACCTATAGGAGAGCGGCGGTTAGGTGCATTAGAAGGTTCACTTAGATGACGAATCGGAGATGAGAAACTGGTCGGTGCAGCTAAAGTCTCGTCCATAGAAATAGGTTGTTGGGACTGTTGTTGCTGCTGACTATTTAAAATAGCTGAGTAGATATCTGCAGTATTGGTATTGGAAGGATTATTATTAGTGCTGGAAGGGATATTTGGGGATTTGGACTTAGGACGTTCGTGGCTAGATAAATTTGCAAAGTGGGTCAGAAAATCACGACCGTTTATGTAGCTAGCGCCTGCTAAGTGAGACTGTGAAGCTGCTGGAGCCAACTCGTTATTTGATATATTATCCATGATAAGAAAACGCTAGAATTGTACAAACCAATCATATAGACTCTAAAACAAACGAAAATAGAATGTTCAACGTACTGAAAATTTACAATTTAACTTTAAATTTGACAAATTGCACCAAAAAATGGTTAAAATAAGCTAGACAATAATAACTGAGAGCAAATAACACATTTAACAAAAGATCAGTGGATCAACAAGAATTAAATTGAATAAAGAAGTGAAACCATTTGATAAATGATTTTAAAAATTCAGCTGACCTTTTAGAGATAAACAAAACAAAAAAGGAGATATACAAGCATTAGCAAAGAAGGCAATGGGAGCGCCGAAAACCGAAACCTAATAATCTTATTTAGACAATATAAACGAACTTCTGGGTCACCATTATGCACAATGACCTAGTAAAGAAATCACATTTTCTTCCAACTGGATAAGATATAAGTAATTATTTATTAATTCACCCCTCAGTTAAAGTTTCCGTTATTAATTTTGGACAGTTTTGTTTAATTACCGAATAACATTTCCAATTTTCATTATTTATATTTAGTTTCATTGAGCAAACCAAATTTCCATAGTTTCTTGAAATTTTGCCCTTTTTCTAATATGAATGGTTTTACCGCTTAGATACGTCAGCTAGTTAGTCTTTTAGTCATTTCGTACGCTCATGAACATCGAACGAATTGTTTGCGTGGGATTATACTTAAGAATTAATATAAATCTGCTTAACTCGACATAATTTCGTGTAATTTTTACAGTTTAAAAACTTTTTAATGTGCATGTTGTTTAAATTCTTATACAATAAAACCATTACTCATACGCATTACAATTCTGAGGTGACAGATAAATATTTTCATTTATTCAGCAACATAAATCAAATTTTAATCCCTGGCATTTTTATTTGTTTGTCGCCTTGCTGACTGTTGTTGTGATTTGCTAGATTTCTGATCGTTCCCCTTCAATAGACCATAGCTTCAATCTCTTCTGCCTGGTTCCATTTATTAAATCCAGTATAAAGTAATTATATCAAGTATATACATTTGAAATTAATAACTACTTAAACACTTTTAAAGAGGTATTTATGAGTTTGGATAGTTAGCAAATATTTTCAAAACGGGAAATGGGCTTTTGGTTATATATTGTCCCAAACATACCTATTGATAACTCTTTCCAGTTAATTTATATAGATGAATTGAAATGAACTAAGTGCATGGTTAAAAAACACAAAAATCTGAAATCGGGTATTATTTTGTTAAATATGGCCACAGAAGATTTACGATAATATTTGCATGAATCTAAAATGAGGGCATAGAAATGCATTCAGAAATGACATAGAAAGCAAACTATATCAATGGCCGGCTGTACAACCATAAATAACCAAATGAATTCTTCATTCAAAATCTTTTAACCGCTCAATCATTGTTTTGCAAAACAGATAAAAATAATGTCATCGGTTATTTTATGTCGATCATGACGCCTTTCGTAATGAGCTTTCGCCTACAAAAAATTTCCAAAATTCTCCTTTTTGATATTTTTTTAAGATGGGTTGATTGATTTCATGATTGGAGCTAAAATTCAGACTTCTCAGCACAGATTATATTACTTGAACTATATGGCGTATATTCACCCAATAAAATATTAACGTCTTGAAAACTTAAATACGGGCGAAATATTTCACATAAGAAGTGAGGTGTACGAATATACAAAACAAACATTTTTCTGAAAAGTAGGGACATCTTGAATAGAAAGTGTCTTTCATCTACTCACTCTTGGAATTTATAAACCAATAATTCAAAGTAAAAATATCATGGACTCCTCCCTGTCAGTTGTTAGAGTGCTGAACATATCAAAGATTTTCAGATGGCGCTGTGGTTACGATTTGGATTTAAAAAAACTGATGGGTTAAAAATTATTATTAGAAATCTTTTGGAGAACAAACAAATTAAAGGAACTGATATGAGTTTTTGGTTTGTTTATGACCTTAAGCCGAGGTTGAAAGTATTTAACCGAGAGGGAAATAATGAAACTCAATTAACATCTGAAGATATTTTCGGATATAAGTTATATTTATAATCTAGGTTAATTATTTCACGATTGAAATAATAATTCAAGATAGGATTATTAGAATTTAACTGAACCATTAAAAACTATCTTGAAATTTATTTTTAATTCAGAATAATAACTATTTTTGATAATTTAAATATAGAATATCTTTACCTTAAAAAAACGTATAAACCATTGGCTTTTATGTTTCATGCGATTTGAGTCAACATAAAGAAATATTTACTTTAAAATGAACTGCTTTCATGAGCGGCAAACTGTACAGGTCGCCTTGTTGCTGATTAGCCGCTCTTCTATTTTGAATGGACATGGGGGACTTGTATATTAATGTCAAAGATAAAGATTATTCTACTGACTCACGTGTAGAAGACAAAGTATCAGACTGTGAAAATTTGCCACAATCTTCTTTGCTGATCCCAACAGCAAAACGCGTTCGCTTTTCAAGAACTCAAGTTTATTACTTTAATCGACAGCAGGGCTATTCCTCAGTACCTCAACGCGGTGGCTGTTCTTTAGGAATGGCTTTGGAGCATTTTCATTCAGAAGTTCACAAAGAGTCATCTTTTAGAAAGATACGGCAAAGTGAAAAGCGATTGAATCCTGTAAATAATTTCACAGCTCCTTCACAGCTTAACTGTAGAGGTCGAAGGCGTAAACGCAAACAACCACGAGCAACAACCATTTACTCAGATAAGGATTCTGAAACCAATGTAAATAAAAATAATGTCCGACTAATTTCTCCTTACTTTTCACCTCCCAAATTATCCCCACAACGACTTGATTCTACCGATTGCAAGATCACTCAAACAGCGAATATTCGAACTCCATCTCCACCATGTCTTTCACCCCAAGAAGGAGTCTCAAATATTGATATTTCTATTGATATTCCTGAAACAGATTCGGAAAACTCTATGGAGTCTTTTGCCGTTCCCAGAACCACTACTAAGAAACTCTTGCCGCTTCCTCCAGTAGTTCGAACACGATTATTAAAACAGGCAGGTAGGGTAAATCAGTTTTATTTGGTAATATTCTTCGCAAGGTGTTATCAATATTGATGATTCTGAGCGATTGAATTGTGCGGTACTTAGAAACTCTCGTACAACAGTGGGATGTGGATGTATCTCTTCATTTTGTAATCCAGAAACTTGTTCTTGTGCATTGGATGGAATTCCTTGTCAAGTAAGTCCGAGAATTGTCAATATTTTGTACTATACGGCCCTGCTCTCATTCGTTTTACTTAATGATATCACATATCATAAATATTTTGTTTTTATTTATTATGTTAAACAATTAATTAATCCTGCTTGTCTTTGTAACGTGTCATTTAGGTGGTACATTTTAACTGTCTTATTTTCCCAATGCCGATTTTTGGATTACAGTGGCCTGCTTCTGTTTTGTTTTTATTAAGATAAAACGTATCTCTTCCAGTCCTTTTATTAATGGGGTTAGATTGTTGCTTTCCAACTGTTTATTTGTTGCTCAATTTTAGAAATGTTTTTTTCTATGTACGCGTCTATGTTATATATTTTTGCTACGTTTCATATCCTTTTCCTCGTTTCTGTAACATGTTTACCGTTTTCTATCGATTAATCTTTTACGAACTCCAGATTATTCGTTAAATATTAGAGAGAAAACTCGTTTCTTTGTGCTGCAATCACACTAACGCCCATTGCGTTATCCTTTTCACTGCTTTTAATAGAAAATACAATTTAATTATGAAATGTGCTTTTGCTTTCTGGCGTTTGTTCAATATTCTTTGAAATCCAGAAGAAACATAAAACTTCCCTAAACTAAAATCGTCCAGGTTTTCTCAATTTCTTGACTCCTGATTCTGGATGCCAACTCACAGTTTCCATTTCGTGACTTATTTGGAAATTTTAAGACAACTTAAATTGGTTGCTATGTTACTTTCAAATGTGTTTGTGTATCTCCTCTTTGTACCAACCTTATCTTCGTTTTGGTGTTCTGCATATTAATTTATCATTTTGCCTTGCATAAATATTGTTTACAATTTTTTCCATATTCTAAGTCTCATTAATTGTAATATTCAGTTTATTTGAGTTACTCTCTCTTACTGCGATTGTTTGGTGTAGCAAATTCGGCATTCATTTTTGTGCTTCTAATATACGATGTCGATGATTATGAATGAATTCCTGTATTTAATGAGACCAAACCGCGATAAATATCCTCAAATGTTCATAGTTGAAGGTGTGAATACAATTCGATTTGCAGACCAATCATGATTTGTAGTTGCAATTACTATTTTGCCTTTCCCTCTATTTTGGCAAATTACCATTGAGGATACAATAAAGCATTTCGGTACACGTAAGTTATGACGAAACTGATCTCCAGCTCATGCTGTCTAATTCGGAACTAGAAGGAGTTGTCTTTTATATCATTTCAGCTAAATTAGGTTGTCTATTGTGCCATTTACTCATAATTTTATTTGTCCATGCCCTTCTTTAATTGTCTTCGTTAGATAGTAAGTTCTTATCGAATACCTATTTATCCATGCATTAGGTGCGAATTGGTAGGTAATTTCCCACAGTTATTGACCGCATGAAAAAAACATTTGGCTCGCGCCTTATTTCAGAAAAATATTTTGAAAAACCTAAGCTTTTGCCTATGACGAAAATAACCTTTACCCTAGACTTATTAACTCTTTCTGTATATTCATTTATATCTCTTCTTGGTTCACATTTATTCCTGCTCTTTTCTTGGGTGTTTTATGAAATTCAATTATGTAATTATACGGTTAAGTAATTTGGAATTTTTTATTTTACGCAGAATTTGATTCCTTACGACCCGCTACTTTTGTAGTACTTTGAAATAGTTTTTCGAATGCTTGTCTTGCCGGTAACGTCTCCAGTTTGCAATTCTGTATTTCCTTGGCAGTTAGCATTGTGTAATTCCTTAAATGGTTGAAATATGACTCAGTTGTGCACATATGTATTTTCTATCTGAACGTTTAATTTATTGCTATAAAGACAGGTAGTTTGAATCAGGTATAGTTTGTAATCTATTGACGTATTGAATATTCCTTTCCTGGCTTAATACGCTTATCCATAGTATCTGAATCTGTACGATTCAATTAGTATTTTACCGGCACAAAATTCCAATTAGTCATCCAATCTCTTACCATTATATCAAACTTCTGCTGACATCTAATGCCACATTAATGCTTTGAGTCACTATGTACTGAGGGATTATTTGATTGTGAAATATTATCATTCTTTATTTCAAGCTTTTCTTCGATAATTTGTCATTTTTTAATTCAGTCTCCTCTCTTCGAAGTCGAGTGGCTTTATTGACCTCGAAATTGCCCCATCAAATAATGGTTGCCATGACAATTCCTTAGCTATTTAGTTTATATCAGGCAATCGCATGATTGTTTCGACTTGGGCTATTCGCATTCATTATTATCACTATCGGAGTTCTTTCTGTTGTTTTAGCCTACTAAATTTGATCACGTCATGCATGATTCCAAGTCTGAATTCGTTTTATCTTAGCACTGACTCTTTTCAATTATCTCTATCCTTTGGTTTTAACGGTGTATAGAAACTCAGAGGAAGAAGACGCATTTTCTTAACTTAGTGGTTGCTTTGCCTTCCATTGAATAATGATATTGTCCCTGTTTATGTGCAAACTAGTTTCGTAGAACTGTTAAGCAACCTAATTAGCAGTAAATATATTTCATTACCTGGAAAGAGACCAGGATTAGAAGATTTTATTAATCTACTGTGAATAACGATTTCCTTCCACTGAACTTTTGACTTCTACTCAAGGCATCGGAGTCATTGAATATTGCCTCATCAGACGTCAGTGATGGTAGATGAGTTTGATTCCATGTCAGGTAATCATTAGATAATTTTAAAAAATTGGCTAATTTTGCTTTTGGCAACACTTTCTTGATTCTTTCTGCTACTTATCTTGTTTCAAGATTTTCTAACCGTTTTCTAGGTTGATCGTCCAGGATTTCCATGCAGTTGTTCCGAGCAGTGCAAAAATCCATGTGGCCGAATTGAATTCTCAACCACCCGAGTTCGGTCTCACGCTCTTCACGTTTTTCAACGGGTACGCATGTGTGGTTGAGCTGCCTTAAAGGCCATTTATGAGTTTGAAATAATTTGTCTTCCTAAATCCAAATTCTTATCGCCTCAGAACTTAAATACTTGCTATTAATCTAGGAGTGTATCACAACAATCACTGCAGGATACCTAATTTTCAATCTGTTGTTAATGTTTTTGAACAGTAACTAAGATATTAAAGAAATTGGCAGGTCCTGCATTTCGACAGAAAATAGTTTTTCGTATGCAAGGTTGATGCATGTGCTTGGATAGGTGTTTAGATCGATTTATGTTTGGTTTATACTTCTTTTTTAAGCAGTTGGAGAATGACGGTGATCGACTCCAGCCAGTTAGTTCAGAACATGGAGAGTGTCTACAGTGCCTTCAGGAACGATTGAGTCAACTCGAATCTTCTCCTACTTCCCTACCACCTTCTCCAATCGCCAAAAAATTTCCTTCTCTAACCCTGTCTCCCCCTCTACATTCCCCAGGTTTTAATAATTCCATTTATGACCTTCCATCACCACCACTGGCTTCGTCTCCTCCTATTTTTCCTGGCGGTGCCGATCATTCAATTTTTAGATTGCCTCTAATGACACCTATTATTGTGAACAGCTCCTTTTTGGCGTCGTCGTCGTCGTCATCCACCTCAAAGGCAATCGTGGTGTACAAGCCACCCTCCTCAATCCTTAGAGAATGCTTTGGAAAGGATTTGGATACCGGGGTTCGTTGTTTTTAATTGTATTAGTAGCAGTAGTAGTGAATTCGTAGATAGGTTTTTTGTTCTCTAATGGCTTAGTGGTTTATATACACTCTCTTAGAAGTACACATCTCGTGATTTGAATGTTTCATAATTAACAAAATTATGTTTTTTCAATTTATCCAGGGTGTTTATGGTGCTAGGTAACTATCTTGGATTTACATATCTTTAATTCCAAAGCTTAGAGTCTTACATTTAACAGTGCTGGATTTTTCTTTTCTGTTGTGATTAACTATTCTTAATACTTTTTAATTGTACCTTCTCTATCTACGTTTTAAAATCAAAAATTTTTGATGATTTTTCACGGTTTACAGGTGAAATGTTTTGAAATGAAAGTGTTTTGTGTTTGATGTATTAAAGAAATAAAACATTCCACCATCTCCCCTCCTGTAGGATAGATGTTTACATCCATTGAGTTTGCGCCGATGAATATAGAATCCATGACTGCTGATTTTTTGTGAGTGCTTTTTCCCCCGCCATATTAAAATGACCAAGAAGTCCAATTGGCACAGTAATTATCGCTTGCACGTCCAATCCACGGGTTGGCGCAAATTCACGACCTTTCTGAGCACACGCAGCGAGTGAAACGATCACTCGGCGCGCATGAGAAAGGTTTTTAAACGTCTGTGTCTTCTATATTCATTTTTCTCCAAATTCCGAAATGCTCATCACATTGATAACTTTTTACAAGTTCAAAGCCTTCATACACGAGACAATTCCTATTCCATTTTGGCCATTACTTAATTAACGTCTTCAATGAGAATTGCACTTCAATAGGTTTTTTTGTTTAATTTGTCTTACAATGCTGCAGGCGTACGTACAGTCAAAAATCATGAGCTTGGTTCCCATCTGTGAGACGAAGGTTGATGAAATAAGGTTTTTCCAAAGCGAGTTTCTCTGATAAGGATCATGTTGTTTTCCTTCTGTTCAAGTTGATTGGCAAAGGACAGGATATTTATTATTAAGTCTTTCGTGAATCTTTGGCAACTCGGATGGTTAATAAATGGATGGGATAGTCATAATGTGTTTTGTGTTTTTCATATATTTTATTGACCGAATAAATGTTCGCATGGATGTTGTCCGTCAGATTTGTTGGAATGGTATTATGTGCTTGCTTTAAAATCTTGTTAATCATTTATTTTGTTTTCAGGTCCTTCAGCAAATTCCAAAACCGATCACTGAAGATACTGCAACTGAGAACGTGAATCCGCTAAATGGTGTTCCTGTTGCAGACGGTGTTGATAATATCAAGCTCGAGCCAGGTCTCGAGGTCGCTAAAGATACGGTACTTGAACCAGCTGATTATGATGCTTGTCTTCAAGGCAAAGCCATATTCACAGCGAATTCTTCAATCCTTCGTATGCCATCTCCACTACCCCCGAAAATACCAAGCAGACGATCAGTAAAATGTTAGTTTGAGCTCAACTGGGCACCAAAAAGGAACTAAATTGTATTTTAAATGAAGTCTTGTTTCTTTCCTCCTTTTAGTCATTCAGACACTAGCATCAGGTCCAAATCCCGAATGTATACCGAATCTCAATCGATTAGGTCCTTGCAAGCGTTCGATTGTTCAATCATCCTGTCCGCATTCCATCCGAAAACGTATGACTTTGAATGCCCAACTACAAGAGCATCAGGACCAGAAATAACAAACTGCTCTAGTTCAAGCTGTGGATTCTTCTCTTATCCAATCTCAAGCTTCACCAGATGCCTTGACTAGTATACTTCAAGAGGAAGATAATTTCTGAAAAAGTGCATTTACTACTACCTTTCTTTTGGTTCTTCCCCTCTTTGTATTCAAGTTGGCTTTATTCCGCTTTACTGTATATCTATTTTTGTGTTTGAATAAAGGATATAGGCGCTCAGGGTTCTTTCCTGACACCTCTTCTTGTCTAATTACTGATGGTTGAATTCTTTTGTTTAGATAATGTGCGATGCCAACAATCCCTTGGCTCCAATCTGGCCACCACCCAAGGGAGGGGTGAATATCGATGAGATTTGGGATGATGGGCCTCTTCTTCAAAACTATAAGAGCATGGAGGAACACGTGAAGGTACGTTTGAAGGCCTTTTTTGTGAAAAGTTTATTCGATTTTCAATATTGAAAGCAAGGTATTCGTGCTATTTGTGGTTATTGAGGTCGGATGCGTTTTCCTTTATTCCTTCCTTGAACCATTTCGCACCATCTGCTCCACTTAACAAATGCCAGTTTAGGTTTTTAGCTGTCTCCCTTTCCCCAGAATCATTTAGTAGCATAGTGTTATTCTACACGTTTACCAATTTGAAAATCATTGTCACAAAGTTGTTATTATAAATAAGCCTGTGGTGTAGTGATTAATTCACTGGTCTACTGAGAAGGGAGGGGGGGGGGGGGGGGGGTCACTGATTGACTGCGCCCATCGGATAGAATTCGAGTGCCTCTTCATGTAGCCTTCATAATGCCACCCACCTACTTACGATTTTCCTATGAAGGTGCTTTTCTCAAAACTATTTGAGAACTGTAAGGCAACTCTAGTAGTTGCTGCTGTTTGTTTCCGGATTCCGTTGGTCAGAACAACTTTGATATGGCAACGGCTTACATTCCATAGTCAAATTAGTATGGGCTTTCAGAATTTTGGAAGCAAGGTGCAAAAGGAGTATCAGGCAAGTGGAATCCGGTTTAGGTTGTGGTAAGAAGTTGGGGGTTGTATGTTCTTTGCTCGGTATTGGTCAAAGAACAACAAAAAAGCAGTCGACATCTAGGTCTCATATAGGTGTCAGAATGTACTCACCATAATCTCGACATCGGAGGAAGGTGGTCCGAAGACATCTAATCTAGATTTTCTTTATTCCGATTAGCTGCTGTTGTAGCCTATGGGAAAAGGGGTCAGTAGTTTGGTCAAGCTAAGAGTTTTGCTACCTCCAAGCAAACTTGATATTTTCTCTGTGTTTTTCGTCTCACTAAAGTTACTGTGTGTAAGTCGAAAAAATTATACCTCACAGCTGCATCACAGTTTATCTCTACTTCGCTCATCCTTATCATTCGCAATTACTCTGGACATAAACTGTTCACCATAAATAATTTAGAGATGATTTATATTAATCTAGATGTTTTTGGATTAATAAACTGCTCGTTTTTTGCATATCTCCCTAACCGGGGTCAACTGCAGCTTAGTTATGTCAAGTAAGTAGATAGGCCATGAAGGCTGAAACTGGGCTTCGTGGCATTTAGAAATGTCTCATCGCACAAAAATATATTATTTCAGAAACAAGTTGAGAGATTCAAGAATTCCGTCAGGCCGCCTCCGCCGCCATCCGTGCCTGCGAAATCCACCCATCCAACTCCTCCTGTTCCGCAATCTCTTCCCACCCAGTCGAGCGCCACAACTCCTGGTAGGAAAAAGAGGAGAAATAACAAGCATAAGCGGGGTGGTGGAGCTGCGCCGGCGGCAGCAGCTTCACAACAGCAGCAGCAAACACCGGTTACCCCCGTCCTTCCCTCTGCTATCGTTACTCCTGATCCTGCTCCTGCTCCTATTTCAAACCCCGCTCCGCCATCCTCTCCAAGTCCTCCTTCAAATGGTGTTGAGCAGCATTTGTCGCCTCAACATCCAACTTCTCCTCATCCGCCGTGTTCCTCTTCCACTAGAGGACCAGAGGGTTTGCATGCTTCCCTCTCTGATAATAAAGCAATGTCGAATCCTGAGACTGTTTCTGCAAACACTGTGAGTAATTACTCTACACTCACTTAGAAATTGGCAGTTTTTTACATAAAGGCCTTTTGATTTAATAAAAAGAAGTTGTATTGGTCTGTCTTGATCTTTACTCATTTAGTGAAGAGATATAATGTGGTTTGAGAACTCGTTTTAAGAAGAATTCAGGAGAGACGTTTGGTAGTACTAATGAGGCGATGTTTTCGTCTCAAATAAATACTAATTTCAGTGTCGTTTCGATTTTTTTTGTAATAAACAAAATGTTGAACAATTCAGATGAGCTAAATGGCTGTCCCTGTTTAATTGCAATAATTTTAATATGACTAGGTAGGTAGCAGACATGAATGGTGGTTTTGAAATTCTTTATTTGGCAAAAGTCATTGGAAAGGTGTGTCATGTAGTTGATCGCTTAGGACAACCATGTAGGATTTTAGTCACCTTTTTGAAGAAAAAAATTTCATTGCCTTACTATTAAATATTTCCAAGACTGAGGAATCGAAATCTTGTTGTTGTTTCCTTCTTTTCTACGTTAACAAGATGCCAATTTCTCTCTCTACTTGCTCAAATATCCCATTTGTTTTAATGGTCCTTATCCATATAATTAATAATTTGGAGATATGCTAAAGTGAATTGGGAAGAATTAACATGACAAGGCCATCTACAAATTCCACTCAAATCATACAACTTATGGTTATGTGGTTAGGCAATATCATGTCAAACACTGTGTACTAATTAAAGATTATTTTACCGCAAATCCTGGCCTCTCCAAACTTTCGCTTAACGTGACAGATAAAACAATCTAGGTAGAATCAGTTTTTTTTCACTCTCCTCCCAGTTCCCCAGTTTTATTTACACAAAAAGGAAACCTGAGTGAGTTACTCTAATTTTATGTGTAAACAATCCCCTGTTGTTTCTCAAACTGATCCTTTACATAAACTAGGGCCTTGAGTTGAAGATATTTGCTTTTTATCCGAGCACATACTTCTTCATTGATCTATCCAGTATCTTTGCAGCTAAACAACGGCTTTTCCAGCGTTAGTGTGCTTACATAAATTGCGGCAATCTTGAGCACTTGAGCATCTGGAAATCACTATTATATGTCCATTCTTAATCATCCCATACTTAGATTCTCAATAGAGAATCGGACGATACTTGGGAATGAGGTAAATTGTGAAATAAGGCTTTCTCTAATACACATGTTTATTTACAGATAATGTATAGGCAAATAGTTGGTAAGAAGCTTGTTTTCAGATTTGAGTCGATTTTTAATTTGTCCGTTTCCTACGTATTAAAACTTCCTAACTGAAGGTAAGCTTGCTGTAGATTTGAAAAGTTTTTATTTTTGTTGTAATAGATTGGCTTATTAGACATTCCCCCCCCCCCTTTAATCTTTCCTTTTTCAGCTATCTGCATTTTTTATAAAAGGCGTCTGGTAATTAGTTTTCCTTACATAGTTCTCCTCTTTTTGCTAATCACAGCTCACGTTCCCTATTTCTACTGTTTGAATAGCAACTAGGAGCCTCTCTGTTAGTGACATACTCCAGGTAGAATTGATGTTTTAATTTTCCTGTTTTTGTAGATCTCCATTGTAAGAGGTAGGATCCAAATAAATCTCTATTGAGGCATATCGTATTGGTGAGGCGAGTTTACATGAAAGGAGGCATAAGATGTTTGGAGGGTTGAAATGGCAATCGCAGATCAGGAAGTGTGAGAGCAGATGAGCATCTTAGATGCGTGACCCCAATCACTTCCTATACTTGTAAGATGTCATGAAATTGCAAGTCTACTAATAATGCGCTCGTATCTTATAATCTGGAATTTTATACTTCCTAAGCCAAGTTAGGCCGGTGGTGGAGTATTATCAATAGGTGTTAGCCCTAGTTGGGTATTCAATTCCAGCTAACCCCTTTATTAACACCGGTTATTTAATCCGGTACTTTGGTGGGAATCACATTTGCATGAGGATTTTTTATACTCCATTGATGAGTTGTCCCCTATTCTTCCCTCCCTTACTTTTCATTCCAATCCCAACAGCCTTCCGCCGCAAGCCCGACCGCCTACGCGACAGCGCCATCATCGCCAGCAAGAGTCGTCTCGAATCCGAGTCCCATTTCAGTCGGTCCCTCGGTGGGGTCGGCTATTCCTGACGCCGCTCTTGCTCCCGCTCCTGTTGTTCCCGCACCGGCTCCGGCTGCAATTCCAGCTCCTATGTATCCACTTATCTCACATCTCCCTGTGGATTTGATGCCGCCACCACATCCGCCTGCACTCTGTTCTAGTCCCAGCGGTAACAGTTCTGCGCGGTTTGGGTAAGATTGCCTTGAGTTTTTCCCCATAAAACCCAATGACGGAAAGTGCCTATCGCCTTTGAAACCTTTCTAATTAATACATGCTTGTATTTAAATTAGATGTGAATTAGTTTAGCAGCATTTCTTTGATTCTACTAATAAGTGAAACTTCTTGAAGATTTAGCATATTGCATTATTTCCTTTATCACATTCCATTTTCTATTGCAGTGGTCCCCAACAGTCATCCTGCCTGCTTCCAACACCGGTAGAAGCGCAAACTACCTCCTCCCTCACAGCCTCCCTAACCACTCCCAATGGAGAATTCAACATGAGTCTCCTCTTGCGAGCCTGGTATGAGGCTGGCTATGCCATGGGCCAAGCGCATGCCGACCAAGTAAGTGGGGGGTTGGTGACTCTTAATAATTTTAAAATCGGATTTTCATCTACCATTTTGTCTACTTGTATTTTTTGTATAATTCTCTTTTATAACTTTATGAAGTGACCTTTGTCACCGGTGACCTGCTAGTTCTGAGCGTCCGTTTATAGTTTTGAAACTATGCGGAAGATATATTTCATGATGAAGGTAGCTGGTGACCCCCCCCCCCCCCCCCCATCTTCATTTCGATTGATCCTGACGGTGGTTGGGAATCCACCATGTTGGTTACTATAATTTTGATCGTCACTCTGTTCACTAATAATTAACCTTGGCACTATTAGTGTCACAATACGCGGTGGCAATGATAAGACCGGTAAATTCAGCGAATTTTGTCCACCTATGAACACATCAAAGGTCAATCTATTTTAAATAATATCAGCTGTTAATTAGAGGTAAATATCCTAGCAGCGATTCGAATATCAGAAATGAACGTAAGAGTTTATACTCCCAATCTGTGAAGATGCTTCGCCAGGCAATCGTGTCCGGTATGTGATCTAAACTCAGCCACGGCTTCGATTCTTGGCCAGTCGGCTATGTTGAAGAGTGCCACTGTCCACTGTTTCTCCTTTGTTCGAGCTTTAAGTTCGTTGCACCTTGAGGTCTTGAATTCTCTCCTGATTCAAGCCTTCATTGTGTGGAAAGACATCGTCCGGTCCATGTATTGCAAAATCGTTGTCCCCTTCTTAGCAAGTGCGTCAGCAAGCTCATTGCCTTTAATGCCACAGTGACCAAAGTATAAACAAGGAAGGAAAGTAGAAGGAATATAAAATATTACTATTAAAATGTTAATGTTTCTTTTAAACTATTTAGAATCAGTGCATTCGTTCATTGCAATCTTTCAGGGTCTTTTAAAATTAGGCTTCAATTGATGACCTTCATATTGTAAAATATTTCTAATCCGAAAGTCTTTAATTTCTAAATGGTAGTAACAATAGCATCATTGTTCGTCCAGTAAAAGCAATATCATTTCAATATATATGTTCTTGTCCATTAACACAATAATCAAACCATACTAGGCTTGATGCGAATTTGGTTTTGCATAATTTTAAATAATTTTCTGTCATTTCGGCAAAGAGATTGAACGTCGCTACTTTCTTAGATGTGTTCGAAGTTGAAAGTCAATTGCCATTTCTGTATTGAGTAAATAGCGGTTTTACTTTCCTACTAACTTTTCTAATCATGTTCTTTTTGTGTCTATGTAGATCTTGGGTCTACGCTCTGGTCCATGTGGGAGTGGAGATGGGTCAGACGAGGATGAAGATGATGACGATGGGGAGGAGGTGGAGCAACAGGTAGTGCAGCAAAAAAAGGGAAAACCAAGAAAATCGAAAAAGTAGTTTGGTAGGAGATTCGCGTCGACTATCGCTCCCTCCTTTTCCTCTATTATCACGACACGCGAAGGCAATTGTAATAGCTCTTTCCACTTAACCTCTTGCCCCTCCTATCAAGTTCTTGTTGATGTACTCACAACCAGCCAGCGAGCCTTTCTCTATCTATCTACCTGCTATTGTCCCTGAAAGTTGCGTTGAAAGAATACTGATCATGTAATATTCTCCCGCTATTTGTCTTGGTTTTCAATGAATTTTGGATAGTTACTTTAAAGTTTTTTGTTATTTGTCTATAGGAGTATTATAGCATATATGTTAAGTATCTTAATAGCAGGTCGTCTGCTACTAATAAAGTAGGAGACACTAACAATAAAATACAAAATAATAAATCAGGAGGTGTTGGTTTGAATAAACATGGTCAACGAGGGGACATAAAGAGGTCGATAAGATAGAAAAGATCGTGACAAAATCCATAAAATGATCAAGGCTGGTTTGATGAAGGTTTTCATATGGGTAATCAACTATAATTGTGATTGAGAGCGAATTCTAGCCAGCGTTTTATATATGTTCCCTGGTGGAAGGTAGACCATTTGAAAGCCTGGAAAACGCGCAATCGTCCCCACTGGCATTATGTGCCCATGTTAAAGGAATATTTTGAGATTTTAATATGGACTTTATAAGAATTAAAATTTCCGTATAATTAAATTCCACCCATAATGCAACCCATAATAATATTTCCAGATCGCTATATATTGAGTGAAATTCTTATGATATCCTGATATCCTGGCATTGAAAAGAAATTCAGAGAGAATAAATTTTAAAAAGGAACACTATAAGTAATAGCGTACGTTACAGGTCAGAAATTATTCAATTACTATGCCAAAAATGATTGTCACTTGTAACTAGATTATTTTCCGTATTTTACCGAAATTGAACTACATCGGATAAATAATAGCTTATATCCATATTATATTATGAAATAGCCACAATAGGCTTATAATTATTATATCATTTAATACTTATAAGAAAGTTTAATTTAATTTTGGTCATTTACTGTTTTAATTTGATGCGATTGAGCTGCGCGTTACGCGATAGAGAAGGTGTTTCTAAATTTTTGAACATTTTCTATGGCTGACACGGCAGATGGTTCGCCTGGGTAATTTTTTTTATTCAACAAATCGTCTTATTTTTTGTTTAACATTTCATTGTCGAGTGAATAACTTCGGGGTAATGAAACCGTACTTATATATTTTTGCTTTCACTTTTCGTATATTCAGTTGCATTGACATTGTAAAATTTATGTTTAAATAACTTAAAGGCCAAAGATTACCTAATAATGTGATTTTTTATTTCATATGCGATTTTTATTTTTATAAATTTTATTTTTATTTATTTTTAAATTTTTCTCTTTTATTCCAGAGCGTTGACTACTTCGAACCTCTGTTCTGACTCCTCTGGAGTTTCTTCTTTTCGAAGTTCGGAACTCCCAACTATGATTCAAGATCCAAATATTCTCTCTTTTTATCCCAAACTCTCGAACACTGAAATTCGTCGAACATTCCAGCTTTTTTCTCGAGTTGTTGAATCCCGTGTGCGACTTTCATGGATACCGCAAGTATTTTCGAGAATTCCGTGTGCCCAAAGCAAATCGGAGGAGGTTGAAGTATTGCAATCAGGAACGGTGAGATATTAGTAGCCATTGGAAGGTAGTGAACTTACTTATTTTCTCTTTTTTGTAGGACATTGAAATTAGTTAATTGTATCTTTCGTAACATTGTGCAACTGTCTCTGGTCGTTTCACGTATAAAAGTAACGATTTATCACAGTTATCAGTTTTTTGCCTCTTTGGGGTGTTGCCTGCATAGCGTTGAGTATGCCGATTGTGCTATTCTTTAGTACTTTGCCTACCAATTTGGCCTACAGTGTCTGCAATACCATTGTTGAATTATTGCCCAAACAGTTTCTTTCTTCCAGCCGTCTTCCTACACATTGATATAATATTTACTTTCTTATTATTTGTTTCCTACGGCGGTTTATATTTACTAATCCTTATATGCCGTTGTTTTCGTTTAATTTACTTTCGAGTAAGTTGGAGCCCTTGTCGAAATCAACCAATTTTGGTCGATCGACTCCAATTTTGGTGATAGTTTTCTAAGCCTTGGGATTTTTCTCTCCCCTTACTCACTCGCAATTAGTCATTCATTAGTTGCATGACTTTGTTCAATTCGGGCTTAATTCTCTTTTTTTTCATTCTTTTTCACCCCCGCAGTCATTTTGTCCAGTAAGCGCATGATTGATATATCAAGCTCTGTTTGTTTGACAGTAACTTATGTCCTGTTTAATATGAGTGCTTTTAACCACATCTTGCACATTTTTAATTTTTAGTAGCTGGAAGTTAACCAAACACAGGGAACAATTATTTACTTCAGTCTGGATTAGGGATAAGGAATGGTTTAATTCAATTTGAAAATAAAGTTTGCTCCTCAAGGTGGTTTTGCGAAATATGATTTTCAAATGTTTTGTGTACGCATTTTTTAATTTTTTTAATGTTTTAGTTTCAGCAGGCATCCCCCTTTTACTGAGTATATTAATTTTTGTGGCATCGTGATAGAATTGGTCCTATTTATAATCTAGAATGCAGTTAAACCAATTATAGATTCATTAGTAGTGATAAATTACTATTTTTCTGAACAAATTCACTCTTAAATCATTTTTTACTGGCCTCTTATGTCTGTAACTTTAAATGAAGTCGAATCACTGTCTATTTATGAAAAGAATCAAACTACTTTCACGTCATCCAAGTATTCAGTAATTTAGAGATGATTTGTCTTCCTTAGGGTCTTCTCGCATCGCTAGAACCAAGGCCCTCACTGACTGGCTTGGACAGAATTTTCGCTATCGCCTTTGCTGATTGCTTTTCATTAAACTTTTTCTAATTATGCAGATCGAAGTCATACGAAAATGTTCCCACGTTAGGTGACTCCTTACAGCTCTGCCTATAAATATCCTTATTCATTGGTCTTGAATTTCTGGCTTTTTGTTGAATTTAAGGAAGATCAAAATATGTACATTTAGTTTCCTTACGAAATGGTCGCATTGAAATGACATTGCATTTTTGTAGATATCACAGTTTGAACCATCATTGAATTTTTTGTTACCAGGCTAAAGATCGTAGCTTTGGTGCTCCAGGTGGGATGAGGGGAATGGGGTGGGATGTAGGGTCTTGAACCAAGTAGTTTCAGGTGGGTAAATATAAGTGGAGTATATGATAAAGTCGGGAAGCTTTTAATTTTCCACTCTCTCCCCTTAAAGCTGTATTGTGCTAATGTTTATAAGCTCAATTTTATAAGTTGATCTTATGGTGTCTGGGTGAGTTAATATTCTCCATGATTCCGCCTTGTTTGCCAATTAGTTTCTTTCTATTATTATTACTTGGGCTTCTTATTACGTACACTCCATTTTCTTACTGTTCCATCCATCAGTTGGTATCTAGTCATTCACATCCCTTTTTTAAGCATTTTTGTGTCTTTAATCAAAGATATATACGCGTTTATCATCCTGATAAAGATCCTTAAAACCACCTATGCCGTTACTATTATCGAAAGTGATAGCTAAAAATTTGCTCTGTTTTTTTATCATCGACACATTGAATTGGAAGGTTTCCTGTAAGAATAATTTGTCTGATGAACTCGTGTTTACTTTGTCTTGAATAGTGGCTAATGGACGTTTTGTTAAGCTCGTTTGATTATATTCTTGTCACTTTTACCACTTAAATCAATGCTTGTCTGTATCCACCCAGTGATATGGTTAGCCGATCACGCTGCTTTGTCATGGCCTATATTGGTTATAGCAGAAAGCGAGTGTTGATCGAAGTCTTTCTTCCTAGGCTAAAGTTGAGGTCACTTTAGAGGTCTCACGGGATTTTACCAAGTGGTCTAGATAAATCAATATTATGGTTTTATTTAAAAGCGGCAAATTCGGAATATTACGAATACCAACATACTTAGCATTCAATGCTACGCAGCAAGTCTGCTAAGTTTTCAATATGAACTTCGGCACACAACTCAGCATTTCTCCCTTGTTATTTCTACGCTCTGTAAGAACTGTTTTGTAACGGGATGAGTTTTGAGCTATGTCGAATTTTGCACAGAAAAAGAAATGTTTTTTCTTCAAATACCACAAGTTAAACGCAATGCTCTATTATTTCAAACTTTCCAATCCGCCCATCACGTGAGTTGCCTGTATATCTCCCACACCTGCTGAAACAGTTTAGGAATAAATGTCGCATCTCTTCTCTCATTGGTCATTGCTAATTTTGGCCGAAGGCCACTCCTGTGTTGATTGGTTAGCGCCTATTTTTCACTACCTGTCTAGTCATTTTATCCCTGAATTATCTACAAACACATTTCAGATAGAGTAAACCATACTTTATCACTGCCACAATAAGGGTTTGGATACTAATGATCTCTATTTACTTTGGCTGTTCACATGTAATTGAGTGCTCCCCT